CCTCATTTAGCGACAGTCAGGATTAGTAAAGTCAGTCAAACGCGCGTGGAAATAAATCTTTGGGATTTGTTTCGAACACAAGCCTAGCAGCACCAGGTTGCTTTTGCAAGGCGAGCAGCCGCACGGCGAGCGCAGCCTGAGGGCGGCACGGAGAGCACAGGAGCACAAGGGCGGCAAGAGGCTACTGAGAGTGTAAGCTGTTAATAAAAATAGGATAAACAAACCAACATACAGGGACAGCTTTATTTCCTTCTAGAATCTTGTGAAATAGCACATTGCTTTTAAAAGAGAAAAATAAAACATTTAAACAGGGCCAAGTTTCATCACTGGTAATGGAAAGACAAGAAAATTTTCATGCATGTCATAAACTGCGTCTTGATTACCCACAAATGTTTATTATTACAGATCAAGCAAAATGACTAACAGGCACAGAACATGTTCTTATCTCATATACAAGAACGGGTGCTACACTACCCCTCTTGTCTCCTCTCAAGGTTCTTGCACTTTCTAAAACACACTTTTGATTGTGAAGTTTTCATCTTTAGAAATGTTTTGAATGTGAAGAATAAATTAACCCAAAAACATGTTTCCAAGCTGTTATCCTGAAAGGCCACATTTTCTCCATATTCTGTGTTTTGTAATGCTGTAAAACCCAAATACAAATTTAGGGATCAAGCCAGGCGACTTCATAAAACAGCACAACTCCTATTTTACATAGCACAAAGCTATTGCCCAGACAGTCCCAGAACGATTACAGTCTGTCAGCTACAGGTCATACAGTTTGGGAGAAGAGTACGGTCTTCAAAAAAAAAGCATGCAAAGACAGCATGTATATGAAAAACAGTAAAACAGATTAAGAAGTAACAACTATGTTGTACATCAGGTAACACGATCGTGTTTTTGACATTTGCTTAAGCACATCAGTTTTACAAGGATCCCAAGATGGATTTTGCTTTTTCCTGCACCACTACTTCCCTACCCACCTACGCCTCCCCAGGTTTCCAACGTGGCAGGAGGCAGCGGCAGAGGGGTGGAGAATGACAAACGATTCCAACACAGTACCACAGAGCATCTTCCGCAAGCATCGCTCCAGCCCAGCTACTTCTTCACACCTCAGACTCTGAAACATTGGCACGACCATGCAAGCGTTAGCAGATAAGGGGGCACCAGCAACTGAAGGTATTTTTAAACATTTTACCATAAGAAAAAAAAAACCAAATCACTTTGCTATGTTTTATTTAAGTAGGAAGTACATCTATTGTATAAACTAAAATTCTACAAAGTGACTGTATGCATCTGCTGTATATTTTGGACTTCACTTTTTCTTCAGCAGTTATTAATATTCATACCTCTCCTTTCTTCCAAGAGTGGAAAGAGACCAGAAAACAAATCCAAAAATAACAGAATACACGGGGGGGGGGGGGGGG